AATGGTTGAGGTGCAGCCAGGAGCCTGGAACTCCGCCCGGGTCTCCCGTGTGAGCAGTCTGCTTTTCCAGGGGCATTCTTAGCACGGTGCAGGATCAAAGTGGAGCATCTGGGACTCGAACCGGCGCCCTGATGTGGGATGCTAACATGGGCATCCTAAGCAGCAGCTTCATTCCCATGGCTTAAATTTTATGTAAAAAAAAAAAGTTTCCATTTCCACATTTTTTTTTCACTTCTCCCCATAAAGTCTCCTATTCCAAAATGTCATTTCATCTGCCAGTTTGCTCATGACACTTACAAATGGAGAGTGACCAGGAATGGGTCTGAGACTATGGACCAAGGCCCAACCCCTGAGCCGGGGCCGGCGGATGGTAGATGAACCCCTCTGATGTGTTTGTTCTTTTACCCTTTTGTGGAGATTCGCCAAAAAGTTCCCAATTGCAGTTAGGTTTGAGGCTGGACAAGATACGGCAGGTAGGGACATAAGACGAAAGTAAAAGAAAAATGAGCTGGGAAGTCACCCTGACGAGGAAAGATGCTCTTGTCTCTAGATTTCCAGTGCCAGGGAGGAAGGGGACAGCCCACCACAAAAAGAAAGTCCATGAAGGCAGGCGTGTCTTGATTTGATGCCTCAGCATTTGTTAGCCACCTGCTGCTTCCCTGGGTCGGATCCCGGGAACGCTGTCCTGGTCCGTTTGGGCAAGCAGTCTGTCTTCTTAGAGCAGACATTTATACTTGGGAAGACAGAGTGAATAATCCCAGATGATGATCGGTGTGAAACTCAACAGGGGCGGAAGGAGTACGGAATGCAGGCTGACAGGCCATGAATGGGGAAGGTCTTCCTGAGGTCCACGTAGCCAAGCGAAGCTATTCTGAGTGCCCAGAGGGCAGGCAGTGTGTGCAGAGGCCCCAGGTTCGCTGCCAATGGGGCAGAGAGGCCCGGTGCAGGTGCAAGGGGAGATGAGAGAAGTGCCAGGAAGGGATGGCCCCGCCGTATGGTCTTTACATGTGTCACCAGTTTTACCATTTCCGAATGCTGGCAGCACGGTCCAGTGGCACTAGATAGATTCCTGGGCTTGTCCAGCCATCATAACAACTGTCCTCCGGAGAGATTTCTCCTTTGCAGAGAGGGGAACTCCATGCCTGCTGAACAGGAGCCCTGCCCTGCCTGCAGGCCCTGGTACCCGCTGTCCTCTGCGTCTGACCACCATGGGGCTTCGCACAAGAGGAATCTTGAAGCTTTTGCCCTTTGTTGTGGGGCAAACCCTAAGGGTGATGGCTTTGGGTCAGCCGCGTCGTGGTCTCTGTCACAGTCTGCCTGCTGATTGAGGCTGTGTGACATTCCGTAGTGTGGCTAGAGCAGGGCTTGGGGATGCCCGTGTCCGTTGACGGGCATTTGGGCATTTGGGCTGTTCCCACCCGTGGCTGCCCTGAGCAAGGCTGCCGGACACGTGGCATGCTGCTGGTCCACCCAGGAGTGCAGTTGTTGGACCATGTGGTCATTCTGTTCGATTTTTTTGGTTTGTCTTGTAGGGAACCATCCTACTATTTGGACTGTTTAAATACTTAAATATTTATCTGAAAGGCTGAGTAATAGGCAGGGAGGGAGGGAAAGAGAGAGAGAAAGCGTGGGCACTTTCATCCTCTGGTTCACTCTGCAGATGCCCACAGCAGCCAGGGCTGGACCAGGCCAAAGCCAGGAGCCTGAGACTCCGTCTGCATCTCCCCCATGGGATGGCAGGGGCTCGGGCCCTTTGGTCACCATTCCAGCATCACAGATGGCAGCTTGACTCACTGCGCCACAACACTGGCCACTGATTTTTCTTTATTTTTATTCAGGAGTCAGAGACAGGTGGACCCACACAGACAGAACTTCCATCTGCTGGTTCACTCCCCAGATAGCCACAACAGCCAAAGTTGGGGACTCAATTCAGGTCTCCCACATGGGTGTCAGAGACCCAACTAATGCTTTCCACCAAGGTCTGCATTGACAAGATGCAGAGCTGGAGTCTCCCATGATACTTGGATATAGAACCCAACTGGTCGACCAGATGGCTGCTCCTGGCTTGCCGTGCAATTAGAGACCACTGTGCAGGTGTGGTCTGGTGTGTAGTTCAGATCTGTTCCCTGCAGCAGCCAAGTCAAGAACAGACTGGGCACACTGATGTGGAACTGAGGCCAGGAGGCGAGGGTGACGGTGGGGAGGGGAGAGGACCAGGCGGAGCGGCTGGAGGGAGGAGGGACGCTGCGGAGGGCAGAGCGAGGGCACAGATCTGGGCCGGAAGTCCTGAGTGCGGTGTAGTGCGGACATTGGGTTGTGGTTCTGTTAGTCCAGGAGGAGACCTGGGAGCTACCACATGTCAAACCACTTGGGTGGTGTCGCCCATGTGTCGCCAGAGGGCGGGTGTGTGTGTGTGTGTGTGTGTGTGTTGGGTGGGGGGGTGCTGTTGAATGACTCCCACCTGGCACACGTGTGGAAGGCTCATCCGTGGCTGCCTGCTCAGCTCCGTGGCCCAGCAACGGGTGCAGTAAACCAGCGAGCCAGGCAGGCCTTGGCACTCCGCCTTGCAGGCCCGGGGGCTGGCAGCCTTTGCAAAGCAGCTATGCCACCTGGGGCTGGAGGGAAGGTGTGGGCGGAGGGGCTGTGTCAGGGTTCACAGCATAGTACTTCAGTCTCTCACCACAAAAGCCACTTCCTCCCAGGGTTATCATGGCTGCCGTGAGCTTCCTGTTCTCTGGACAGTCCTGCGGGGGCTGCTCCCTCCGCTCCCTGGGGGAAGAAGCTGAGCTCTTTGCCAGCAGGGGGCTGCAGGCCCTCGGTGCCCAGGGTGCCAATGCATGTACAGATGCATACTGAGACCCCCCCCCCCCAAGATGCAGACGCCTGGTGCTGGGGAAGCTCATTTTAACTCCTTATGTCATGGCCCCCAGAGAGACACAAGACCCCATTCCTGCAGGAAGTGGGGGTATAGGTGACTGCCAGGTCAGTACCCATAAAAACTGAGGAAGACCTGGAGTGCCCTGTTCGGGAGAATTGCATCCCTTGAGGGTACCTGAGCCATTGTTGTCCACTGTTGCGTGCTAGGGTGCAGAGCAGCAGAGCCCAGAGCGGAGGGGTCAGAGCGGGGACTCAGATGTGGGCATTCCAGCTGGTGCCAAATCCCTCCCCTTCCCGAGGTCTCACACGTGGCCAGGTCCCAAGGGCCTGGTGATCGAAGGAGACGGCAGACTGCCTTGAAACCCAAACTCCTTTAGTCCTTGCCAAGGTGACCGCACTTTAAGGAGAAGGTGAAGTCAGAAGCCAGCCTGCAGGCCACCCCGGTTCGGCCCCTGGCACACGGGTGTTTGGAAGCAGTGAGGACACACGCAGGAGCAGGGAGTGAGTGGGATCCCCGAACACGCATGGGATCAACAGTAACCGTGAACTTGAGCTCCAGATCTGCCAGTGTGCAAAACCCTGCGTGTAGCGTAAGACCATGGCTCCCAAAGCAGGTAGCCACGCTGGCCGCCTCCATCCTGTGCCTCTGCAGCCGCAGGCAGCCTGTTCTGCTGCTGCTGCTCCGAGGATTGCACGCTCAACTCCAGGGCCCGTGGGGAGTTCCTGGAGTCAGAGGTGCCAAGAGGGGCTCTCGGGGTGTCCCCCCCAACCGCTGTCCAGGCCCTGGGGCGTGGTGTCCTTATGGGGCAGAAGGCAGGCCAGTGGGGCTGGATGGAAGGGGCTGCAGATCTCAGCAGGGACTCCCCACCACTACCTTCTTCAGCAAGCTTTCTCTGGGGGCCAGCCCTGTGGCACGGCTGCTTAGACCACCCTTGCCGGGTTCGGGACCTCCCTTGCAACCCACATTGGCAGGCCTGCCTGGGTTCAACACCCGGATCTTTGCTCATCTCCTACACGAGCACCGGTTCAAGTCCCACCTGCCCCACATCGCACCCAGCTCTCTGTTGATGTTCCTGGAAAAGCAGCAGAGGATGGGCAAGGGCTTAGGGGATCCAGAGGCTCCCTGGCTCTTGGCTTTGCACTGATCCAGCTCTGGCTGTGGTAGCCCTCTGTCTTGGGTTACCCTGCTTATTCAAATAAATACGTAAATGTTTAAAAAATATTTTATCTTGAAAAAGCTTCCCCTCCCCGACTCAAATGCAGGAAGGTTGGCCTTTTCACAGCCTTGGCTCTGCAGGCCCAGCTGCAAACGGTTCGTTCCTCAGCCTGGCACCCCGATCCCCCTGGGCCGGGCCTGGCTGCAGTAAGCACTTGGGATGCATTCTTGTTTTAAACATCACTGAAGGAGCCGCTTGGCGGGTTTTCATCTTTTTGAAGAATCCCTTAGGCAGAGGGTTAGAGTCAGACTCGCTGCTGCTGGAACCGCCAGCCAGAAGTCAACCCTGGTGTGTGCGTCTTGCTCGTGCAAACCCACACGGAGGAGCCTGGCACACGGGGAGTCACTGTGACATGACTGGCTATGTGGCCACACCTGTGAAGGGTGGTAGAGCCTGAGGGAGGCATCGGAGAGCCTCTGCCAGGCGTCTGCACTTGATTCAAGACCAAAGACAGTTCCAGGGCGCAGTCTGTGAATAGCAGGGGCAGTCCCTGGGGCGCCCAGCCAGGTGGGTGCGGCCCCAGCCCCATGCCCTCAGCTGCAGCGGAATGCCTAGGGCAGTGGAAGTGCCAGAAAGTTGAGGCTGCTGGGTGGGAGCCAAGATGCTAGCCCCCCGCATTGGAGGGCCTGGGTTCAGTACTTGGGCTGCAGTTTCCTGCTGATGGAGACGCCAGGAGACAGGAAGTGAGGACTTGGGTGACTGGTTCTCTGCCACCGTCGTGAGGCCACGATGGAATTCCTTGCTCCTGGTTCTGACTCTAGCCTAACCACAGCTGTTGCAGGAGTGATCCAAAAGATGGAAGCTAGCTTTCTCTCTCTCTCTCTCTCTGCTTCTTATGGGCCTTGTACCCACGGGATGGGGTCTGCCAGCCCACAGCAGCTGCCAATGTGGCCCCTTCCCTTCCAGAGTACTTGAAGGAGGAGCTGGAGCAGTATGTGAAGCAGCTGCAGGTGGTGCGTGTGGTGCGGCAGCCGGAGCGCAAGGGGCTGATCACTGCCCGGCTGCTGGGGGCCAGCGTGGCGCAGGCGGAGGTGCTCACCTTCCTGGATGCCCACTGTGAGTTAGCAGTACCGGGTACAACCTGGGGCGGGGTGGGGGATATCCCCTGGTGGGGCACTGGGTGCTGTGGGCACCACCCTGACAGCCTGACCCTCCCCCTGGGGCGGTGAGGGTAGGGACTTGGGGGGCTGCAGGCACCACTCTGATGGCCTGACCCTCCCCCTGGGGCGGTGAGGGTAGGGACTTGGGGGGCTGCAGGCACCACCCTGACAGCCTGGCCCTCCCCCTGGGGCGGTGAGGGTAGGGACTTGGGGGGCTGCAGGCACCACTCTGATGGCCTGGCCCTCCCCCTGGGGCGGTGAGGGTAGGGACTTGGGGGGCTGCAGGCACCACCCTGACAGCCTGGCCCTCCCCCTGGGGCGGTGAGGGTAGGGACTTGGGGGGCTGCAGGCACCACCCTGATGGCCTGGCCCTCCCCGCCTGGGGCCCCACAGGCGAGTGCTTCAACGGCTGGCTGGAGCCGCTGCTGGCTCGGATCGCTGAGGATGAGACGGCGGTGGTGAGCCCGGACATCGTCACCATCGACCTCAACACCTTCGAGTTTGCCAAGCCCGTGCCGAGGGGCAGAGTCCACAGCCGTGGCAACTTTGACTGGAGCCTGACCTTCGGCTGGGAGGCCGTTCCGACCCACGAGAGGCAGCGGCGCAAGGATGAGACCTACCCCATCAAGTAAGCACCGGGGGTCGAGCAGCCGCCACCTGGGTTTCTGTTCCGGGTCGAACACGTGACTTGTGCTCTTTCTCTCTCGCTGCTGCTGAAGTGGGCGCTGCCATCAGCGCATTTGCCAGGTGAGAACACGTGGTCTTGGTGATAAACAGCTGATGTTAGGCGTGTAGCCGGCACAGGGTGCATCCCAGGCTGGCCCAGAGCACGAGCCGCCCAGCCTGCCACCTGCTCTTTAGCCACTCTTGCTGTGTGCCCATGCTGCGCTGCCAGCCTTGCCTCCTTGGTCTCATGCCCCCTGCACGTAGAAGGACATGGCTACTGCCTGTAGGCACTTATGGGGCACAGTGGCCACAGGACGCTGTTGGATAGCCGTTGTCCTAGGAGAGGGCAGCCTGGGCCAGAGGTCACTGATGTTAGTTGGAAAATAGATCATCATTGAGGGATTTTCAAGTGTGATGTCTGTGGCGGTTGTCCAGAACTACATATATATATATTTTAAGATTTATTTTCTTTTATTTGGAAGGCAGAGTGATGGAGACACTGAACGTGATCTTTTCAACCTGCGGGTTCACTGCTTAGAGGGCCACATGGAGCGTGCTGGGCTAGGCTGAAGCCAGGAGCCTGGAACGCCGTTAGGGTCTCTCTTGTGGGTACAGGGGTCCAAGTGCGGCCCAAGTGTCAGCAGAGGGAAAATCTCTCCTCTCTTTCTCTTTGTCTCTCTGACTTTCAATTACACAGTTAGGGTTCTACAATATGGACATCTCAGAATCCAGGGTGGGCATTTGGGACACTCACATCCTACAGCAGAGAGCCTCGGTTGGTTCCTGCCTCTGCCCCCAGTTCCAGCTTCATGATTGATGCCCCTCCTGAGAGGTAGCATGGTGGCTGAAGTGCCTGGCATCAGCCTAGGCCAGTCCCGGCTGCTGAGGGCATCTGAGGGCGTGAACCAACAGCTGGCCAGGTCCTGCCCTGAGGCTTGAGGGCCCACCTCCCACTGCAGGTGGACAGGTGGCAAGGCAGCCCCTGTCTGATGCCCACGGCTTGCCAGTCCTCTCCCACCCACCCTGTCCTTCCCTCCACTGGCTGCTTGTTGCTGATGTTGCGGGGTTTAACAGCTGTCACCCATGGACTGAGCGGGGCAGTGGCTTTTGGCGCATGCTACACTCTGGCTTCTATGCGCCACAGATTTTTGTTCTGGCCAAGCGCTGTAAAGGTCAAACTGGACCATACATCTGGGATGGGGGACAGCAGAGGTTGGGGATGGAGGGAAAAGCTTGAGATGGGGAGAGGGTTGGCTCTCATGCCCCTCCACTTGCTCGGAGTCCCACAAAATTCCATCCAAAGGGCTCAGGTGTGTGTCCTAGGCAGGAGGGCCCCTGGTCGGCCACCTGCTCTGTCCCTGTTAGCAAGAGAGGGAGAAAAGAGAGGGCAGGAGGAAGCAATGGCACCTCCCTCCTTGTCCTCGGCTGGGTTCATAGATGCCTTTTGTTCAGTGTGGACACTCACAGACCCTGTCCCTGCTCCCAGCGCCAGGCACACAGTGGCACAGCCAGGGCCTCTGTCTCCTCCCCACCACTGACATCCATGGCCTTGGGGAGTCTCTGGATTTATCCTAAGCTCACTGGGCCATGGCTTCCCAGTGTGGGGGAAATGAGCCCAGGGGTGGGCAGGTGGCCTGGGAAGACTCCCACATTCCCCTGGGAGGGAGCTTTATTCCCAGCTCTGGCTCCTGACTGATCTCCTGCTGGGCCATGCCCTGAGAAGCAGAGATGGCGACAGCAGTGGCGGCTCTGGGAGTTGGGTCCCCGCCACCCTGCTGCAGCTCAGATGCGATTCCAAGCTCCTGCCTTCCGCCTTTTGCCTGGTCCACACCTGACTGTGATGGGCATTTGCATGGGGTTGGGGAGGTGAATGAATGAGTGATAAGAACCAGATGTGGAAGGGAACTCCCTCCAGAGGAGGTCGGGGGCTTTGGGGCTCTCATTTGGATACTCAGAACCCCCTTGTCAATCTCTTAGACTCTTCTTGGGCTGCCTTGGGATCCCAGGACAGGGCCACAGCTGAGCAGGGGGACTCACGGCTCCAATTCCTTCCAGCAGGCAGGTGTGTGTGGGGTGTCCTCATGGGGGCCCAGCCCAACCTTCGTCGGCTGCTGTTGGGCATCCAGGGAGTGAGCCATCTACCTTTCCAATAAATAGAATAAATATATACATTTCTCCCAGAAAATGATTGCCCGGAGTAGTGACAGGTGTCCAGAGTCAGGCTCCCAGACGTGGGGACTGGCCACCTCTTTCAGCACCCCGGTGTGTGTGGGGCACCTCTGCGGGTGCTGGGGTGACCCGGTGTGTTGTTGGCTTCTGCTCAGTGGTACCACGTGAAGCCACATGAGGGCAGCAACACGCTGTCCAAGGTGGCTTGGCCTAAGCCCAGAAGCCCAGCAGCCGCCGTTGTGTTCTGCTTGGGTCTCCCCAGCCCTGCTCTCTCTCTCTCAGCTCCACCCCTGCCTTGCATGTTGCATGCATGCACAGTTTTCAGGAAGCTTGTGGAGAATGGAATCCAAAGGCATTTATTTTGATGCCAGAATTTTTGGAAACCCAGGCAGAGGTTTTTCTTCTTTCTGTATTTATTTGCGAGGCACAAAGAGAGATCCCATGTACCTTTTCACCCCTCAAACGCCTCAAGGGACCAGAAGCCGGGACCTCAGTCCAGGTCCCCGACACAGACTGAGATGTTGAGGCATCAAGGCTGCCTGATGAGGTCTGTGTGAGATAGCTGGGGGCCCGGAGCTGGAGCAAAGCGTTGAACCCAGGTACATCTGTGGGGTGCAGATATCTTAGCAGCGAGGCTAAACACCTGTCACCCGTCTTTTCATAAGGTTTTTAAAAAGATTTATTTCTGTATTTTATTTGGAAAGCAGAGTTACAGAGAGACAGAGATCTTGCATGCACAGGTCACCATCCACGTGGCTGCAATGGCCAGAGCTGAGCTGATCCGAAGCCAGGAGCCAGGAGCTTCTTCTGGGCCCCACCGGGTACCGAGTCCCAAGGTTCTAAGCTGCCCTCGACTGCTTTCCCAGGCCACAAGCAGGGAGCTGGATGGGAAGTGGAGCAGCCGAGACTCGAGCCGGCGCCCGTGTGGGATCCCAGCGCTGTAGAAAGTGACTCAGCCTGCTACATGGTTTCAGGGACTTTTTGAAGACTTCTCATGATGTGGATTTCAGCCTTTTTTTTTTTAATTGACATCAGAATAAACTTTCTTTTCCATTTTCCACAAGCATCTTGTGCAGCTGAAATGAGCAACATGGAATCCACCTTCCCGGCATGAGATGCGTCTCTCTGGACCTGAGCCTGCGCCCTCGCCAGCCTCCTGTCCTAGCCTCCAGACTCTATCCTCACCTCACTTTCCACCCTGTTTTGGGGTGTCCTTGCCCTAACCTTTGTCCTTCTCCCTCCCCAAACTTGCAGCACCAGCAGCTCGGCCCACAGACAGGAAGGGGCCAGCCCAGCTGAGACCAGTTATTCTTCCGTGGTTGGAATCCCGCTTACTTTGTGGCAGGCTGCATGGCCCCTGAAGGTCGGGTTCCTGCCACGTTCTCCTTCTTGTTCGGGGCGCTCTGCTGCCCACGCCCCAAGTGCCAGCAGGAGCCTGAGCAAGCCCGCCTTGGGCTTCCTGGCTGCTGGGCCTGCAGCAGGAGCAGGGTACCCGAGATGTCCCTGGATGAGGGCATGAGCGAGCACCTTAGCCAGGACAGGGATGGTTGCCTGGTCCTGGAAGGAGACAGCGGGCACACTAAGTGGGCAGAAGTGGCACTGCGTGTCCCGACGGAGGAAAGAGGACGGGGAGCCCAGCGGAGGGGGGTGGCAGAAGGCAGAAGGCAGAAGGCACACACACGGTCTCCGTCTCTCTCCCAGGTCGCCGACGTTTGCCGGTGGGCTCTTCTCCATCTCCAAGTCCTACTTTGAGCACATCGGTACCTACGATAATCAGATGGAGATCTGGGGAGGGGAGAACGTGGAAATGTCCTTCCGGGTGAGAGTAAAAGGCACTTCCGGGGTGGGGGCAGGGTGGGTGGGGGTCTGGGACGCTGTGCCCATGGGTGTGCATGGTGGCAGCCCAAGCGATGTCAGACACAGAGCTGGTGAGGGTGGGTGTCCATGCCGGCTCCCGCCTCCTCTGCCCCCCGACGGTACTGTGATGTATGCCTTGAACCAAGTCACTGGGCAGAGCTTCTCAGCTGGAAGTGACAGGGGAAGAAGCGGAAGGACGGGACATCGGGACTCCTGTGGCGTGTGTATGCCTGTGTGAAGAGGGTTAGGCTCAAGGTGGATCAGTCCCTGTCCTTCATTTAGGAAAAAAAATGAGGTTCCTCTTTCCAGGTCAGAGGGCACGGCCCTGGGAGCCAGGACAAGCTCCCGTCGTAACTGTGGGAGCAGGTGGTGGCTGCTGGAACTCCGGGGGACTCCGGGCGCAGGCTCCTCTGCAAGGGCTGGAGCTCCACAAATCCTCATGTCCCGGGGATCCTAATGAAGAGGGGTGCTGCCTTGCCCACCCGCCACCCCCAGAGTCCGGCCCCGAGACTCCACCCATGCTGGCTCTCGCTATTCCCATCCTGGGGGCCCTAGGGTGTCTGCTGCTGCTGCAAGGAGCAGCACAGGGCTCCCAGGCAAAGATGCCAGAGGTGACCAGTGCGAGGATGAAGCCATGGAGGGCCCCAGCCCGTTACAGCCACTGCTCATGTTCTGGTTCTGGGCACCACCTCCAAATGCCAGCCTTGGGGGCCTTTACCCTGCGCCCCGCATGCCTCCCCAGGAAGCTTGTGTGCTGAGGGTCCACATACCTGCCACAGGCCACCTGGGGGTTGGCTGGCTGTGCCATAACAGCACATGCTACTCTGCCATTGGCTTTTCAGGAGCATCTGGCTGAGCTCGCCTTGGCAGGCCTACGGGCTAAACGGACACTCGCCTCCAGGATGGGCCCTGCTAAGCTCGGGGCTCTGTCCATCACTGCTGCTTAGGCCGGGGTGAGCCTGCAGGCATCTAGGCACAGCCTGGGCAAGGAGCCCTGGGCATGCTTTTCTCCAGCACCTGCCTGGGTCCCTTGGAAGCCCAGGGGCTGGGAGGACATCTCCCCGCCCTGCTGACGGCTCGTCCTGTGTCCTTGTGGCAGGTGTGGCAGTGTGGCGGCCAGCTGGAGATCATCCCGTGCTCTGTGGTGGGCCATGTGTTCCGGACCAAGAGCCCCCACACCTTCCCCAAGGGCACCAACGTCATCGCCCGCAACCAGGTGCGCCTGGCCGAGGTCTGGATGGACAGCTACAAGATGATTTTCTATAGGAGGAACCAGCAGGCGGCCAAGATGGCCCAGGAGGTAAGAGGAATGATGGGGACCGGGCAGGGAGAGAAAGTTCAGGACCCTGGGCCTCTCCCCGCTCTGGCGTGCCCCCATCCCCCAATCTTGGAGAAAGAGGGGAGGAGTCCTTGTGCCGTCTCCCTGGAGGGCTCCCCAGAGGACAGGGCAGTGAGAGCCCCTTATGGGGGACTGGCCCAAGGGTCTCAGAGGACGGGAACTGGAGAGCAGTAACTGGGTATCTCAGCGGGTGAGGGAGCTGTGTGGTGGCAGGGAGGGGGACAGGAAGGTCAGAGCTGGTGACACTGCCCCTCGGGGACCGGCTTGCCCACAGAAGTCCTTTGGGGACATCTCGGAACGGCTGCGGCTCAGGGAGCAACTGCACTGTCGCAACTTCTCCTGGTTTCTACACAATGTCTATCCCGAGATGTTTGTGCCGGATCTGAACCCCACCTTCTATGGAGCTGTGAGTTTGGGCCAGGGACATTCAAGGCTGCCCACCTGGCGGATGGAGTAGCGGGGCTGACTCTAACCCTGCTGCCCTGTTCCGTCCGGGAGACAGTCCATAAGCAGTGGTTCTCAAACAGTGGTGTGCACCTGACTCACCCAGGGCCGGTGGGCGGGGGGTGGGGGGCGGGAAGAGGGAGGAGGGAAGGAGACAGGGAACGGGTGGTTAATCAGGAGGGGAACAGGATGCTGGCCCCATCCCCAGAGCCTCTGCTTCAGGGCTGGGCTAGGGTCTGGAATTCTGCATTTATGGCAGGTAGTGCCCCGCCCCCATCTGGGATCACACTTAGGACCATGGCTGCCAAGAGGGCTCCCATGTACTGGCTGAGGGCCTTTGTGGGGACCTGCCTCACCCTCCTCTCTAGCCCCCAGCCCCTGGAGGCTGCCCATCCTGGGCTCCCAGCATCCTGGACTCTGTACCCTGTTTGCTCCGGGAACATTCATCCCCTTGGGGGGAATTCATCCTAGGTAGGACGCTGCTGACCATACTAGCCTGGCCCCTCTGCTTGTCCTCCTGCAGATCAAGAACCTCGGCCTTGGTCAGTGCCTGGACGTGGGTGAGAACAACCGAGGAGGGAAGCCCCTCATCATGTACCCGTGCCACGGCCTCGGTGGCAACCAGGTACCTGGTCCTGCCGCGCCAGGCAGGGCAGAGCAGGGGGGCTGTCCTGTGGCCTTCCCTGAGCACCCCTGTTCTCAGGAGGCACCCAGGCTGAGGGGGGAGGACCTGGGGACATCCAGGGGGTGCACAGGCATCAGGGCTAGGTTCCAGAGACAACCAGAGGGAAGCCTGTGCAGCAACAAGGCTGTGTGGAGGAGGCCAGCCCTTGGGTGACTTTGGGGATGAGTGGACGATGGCCGAGCACTTGTCCTCGCCTGCTATCAGCTTCTGCCTTCACTGTGTATACCCTCTGTCCAGGAGTGACCCCAAAGCAACAACCTCCTCCTGACCTGGCACAGCTAAATAATGTCCTAGAGTTCCCCCCAAGCCCCACAGTGTCCGAGCTCTTCCCCAAAGAAGCACTGGCAACCTCCTGTCTCCATCCCTCTGTTTACCCTGGCACCCACAGCGGGATGCAGGGACAGCGGTCGGTGGGGGGAGGGCACGGGAGGCCTGGCAGTTAAGACGCTGGTTAGGATGTTGTAGCCCACGCCATGCCGTAGCATGGCTCCCGCCCCAGCTCCATGCTCATGCAGAACTTGGGACCAGGGGACAGCATTGGGTCCCCGCCACGCAGGTGGGGGACCTCAAGTAAGTTCTGGACTCGAGCTTCAGTTCCACCCTGGGGGTGGCAGATGCTCACAGGGTGAACCGGCAGAAAGCCTCTCTCCCCGTGCCAGCCCTGGCTACCCTCACTTCTCAAATGTCAAAACATATTTTTTTAATAAAATGAAGGGAACAAGTAGACGGCAGATGCCTCCATCTGCAATCAGAGACAGACTCCTTTAGAGCTGCTTCCTTTGGCCGTTGGCCTGCAAGATACTTTCAGGTGATATGTTGATGGGCAGGTTTTTTTTTTAAAGATTTATGTATTTTTATTGGAAAGGCAGATTTACAGAAAGAAAGAGAGACAGAAAGATCCACCATCCACTGGTTCACTCCCCAAGTAGCCTCAATGGCCAGAGCTGTGCCGATCTGAAGCCAGGAGCCAGGGACCTCTTCCGAGTCTCCCACGTGGGTGCAGGGTCCCAAGGCTCTGGGCCATCCTCGACTGCTTTCCCAGGCCACAAGCAGGGAGCTGGATGGGAAGTGGAGCTGCCGGGATTAGAACCGGCGCCCATATGGGATTCTGGCACAAGCAAGACGAGGACTCAGCCACTGAACTGTCATACCATGTTCAATGGATGTTATTTTAAGATTTATTTATTTTTTATTGGAAAGTCAGATATACAAAGAGAAAGAAAGACAGGAAGAAAGATCTTCCATTCGCTGGTTCACTGCCCAAGTGGCCACAACGGCCAGAGTTGAGCTGATCCGAAGCCAGGAGACCAGAGCCTCTTCTAGGTCTCCTACGCATGTGCAGGGTCCCAAGGCTTTGGGCTGTCCTTGACTGCTTTCCCAGGTCACAAACAGGTACCTGGATGGGAAGTGGGGCAGCCGGGGTTAGAACCAGCACCCATATGGGATCCTAGCTTATCCAAGGCAAGGACTTTAGCCACTAGGCTACTATGCTGGGCCCAATGATTTTTATTTATTATTAAAAAAATAGAACTAGTAGAGCAAACACATAGTTTCCCAGATGTTGCTTAAGATGGAACTACAATGAACTTAAAAGAAAATTATTTTTGCCAGTTGGGGGACATTTAAAATTTTTATTCTGTTTATTTTTTTTATCTTATTCAAAAGGTGCCAGGAGAGTCTTCAGCTGTTGTTCCCTTCCCAAGTGGCCGTAATAATCAGGGTCTCAGAACTCCACCCGGGTCTCCCATATGCAAGGAAGGGACCTCAGTGCATGAACCATCAACCCTGACCTGCTGTTTCCCAGGGAGCATGTCAGCAGGAAGCTGCAGACAGAAGCAGAGCCAGGACCAGCCAGGCCAAAGTCAGCATACAGGAAGTTCATGCCAGTCTTCCCGTCTGGGCAGCAGGGGCCCAAGCCTTTGAGGCCACATCTGCTGGTTCCCGAGTGCATGGGCCAGGAGCCAGATCTGAAACAGAACAGCCTGGCGGTCAGCGTCGTAGAGCAGTGGGTTAAACCTCTGCCTGCAACTCCAGCTTCCCACATGAGTAACAGTTCAAGTCCTGGTTGTTCTGCTTGTGATCCAGCTGTCTCTTTGTGCACCTGAGAAAGTAAAAGAGAATGGCCCAAGTGCTTGGATTCCTGAAACCCACGTGGGAAACGCGGATGAACCCAGCCCTGGCCATCACGGTGGTTGGAAGATCTCTATCCTCTCCCCTACTCCATAACTCTGCCTTTCAAATGAGTGAATGAATAATTCTTTCAAAAAGGTGGAGTGTGGGCCCGGCGCGATAGTGTAGTGGTTAAGTGGCACCGAGATCCTATGTGGGCACCGGTTCTAGTCCCAGCAGCTCCACTTCCCATCCAGCTCCCTGCTTGTGGCCTGGGAAAGCAGTCGAGGACGGCCCAGAGTCTTGGGACCCTGCACCCGCATGGGAGACCTGGAAAGAAGTTCCTTGCTCCTGGCTTCAGATCGGCAGCACCGGCTGTTGTGGCCACTTGGGGAGTGAATCACCAGATCAAAGATCTTCCTCTCTGTCTCTCCTCCTCTCTGTACATCTGCCTTTCCAATAAAATAAATAAATCTGAAACAACAACATCAACAACAACAATGGTAGAGTGGCCAGGACCCAAATTGGTACACCAATATGGGGCACGGACACCTCAAGTGGTGCCTTTAACAACCATTCCACAACCCTGTCCTCCCAGATCTTAAACAGATTTCAAGAAGATAATTTAAGGAACTGTTATTCCATTCTGAAGCAGATATGATACTCCTCCTGGGGGTGGAACCCTCGTCATGGATCTTTGAAGGTCCGCTGGGTGGTGTTCTAGGGTCCGGGGTGGGGGGGCGCACCCTAATCACAGAAGCTTTGGAGATCTGACGGGTGGTGTTCTGGGGCAGGTGGCTTGGCCAGGGGTCAGGGATACCTCCACCTGCCACTCAGACTTCCTCTTGTCTCGACTTGTCAGTACTTTGAGTACACTACACAGAAGGACCTACGTCACAACATCGCCAAGCAGCTGTGTCTACACGCCGGCACGGGCACCCTGGGCCTCAGGAGCTGCCACTTTACTGGCAAGAACAGCCAAGTTCCCAAGGACGAGGAGTGGGAACTGACCCAGGTGAGGCCAGGACCCAGCAAGATGAGAGCCCAGGGCGAGCCGACCTGCTGCTCCTGCCATGCATTGCCAGGGGGGCTCAGGTCCCAGCGCGAATGCAGCAAATGTGTGTTGGACCACAGGCAGGGTTCTTGGGGCCTGGGGGATGGCAGGTGCCAACTGATGGGAAGGTAGGCTCATTGTAGGGAAGGGTGGCAGTCCCAGCCAGCCCTGAGATGGCTGAGCATTTGGGGGTTGGAGCCAGATAGAAGAAGGTAAGGAATCCTCTGGGGTTCTTGTCTGCCCCGTGTGCCAGACGCCATGCCAGGCTTGCCCCTGTGTCCAAGTGGGTGCGCCTGCTGAAGCCAGGTTGGCTGTGAGTGGCAGGCATGGGGCACAGAGCTAAACAAGTGGCTGCGTGCACGACACCTCCCTGCTTTAGAATGGGCCCCCGATACCTCCCATCACCCACAGTGCTGAGCCCAAAGCATTGCCCCTCAGGAACCTCCACCTGCAGCCTGTTCTGACCCCCAACTTGAGATAACAAGGGCCTGGAGCCCAGAGGAGTCAGAAATAGGATAGCCAAGGTGGTCCCGGGCCTCCTTTGGGCCTGCTGCTGGCCCTGTAGAGCAGGAGGCAGGCAAGATGTCGCTCTGCCCGGGAGCCCACCTGGACTTCCTTTGTCCCAGCGTGGTGCTCCCCATGCTGACTCTTCATTCCATCGTCTTCCAGGATCAGCTCATCAGGAACTCGGCATCTGGCACCTGCCTGACGTCCAGGGACAAGAAGCCAGCCATGGCTCCCTGCAATCCCACTGACCCCCACCAACTCTGGCTGTTTGTCTAAGCCTCGGATTGGCCCCAGTTGGGACCCCTGCACCCCAAAACCCTGCGAGCCTCTCCAGAAATAAGGTGCTGTTATTCTTGGTTGTGGATGAATTTCTCAACCCAGTCTTGGCAAGGCGGTACCTCCTGGTCCTTGCAGCAAGCCTGGGCCTGTTTGCTCCTCTCCACCTCTGGGGTTAGGAGGTTTGGCTGGGCAACGCAGACAGGGCAGCTGGGAGAGAGCTCAGCTGACCTCAAAAGGGATGCCTGCCCAGCCGCACCCTCCATCCCACTCACCTGCACCAGACAGCAGGGAGCCAGCGTGTTCAGCTGAAGTGGCCCCAGCTCCCGGGACCTGAAGTCTACTGAACCATGCAGACAGAGGGCAACCATATCCTCACTTGCATGGCACACCTGTGAGAAAATCAGAACAGGATGCTGCCAGCCCATTTCACAGATAGGAAAGCTGAGGCTGAAGGACTGTGGGTTTGCGACCACAGCCAGCAGGGGAGCCGGGGCATTTGGGGCTAGCTCTTTCTAGCGCACCACAAGAGAACTAGCCCCCCTGCCTTGCTCCACCTGCCTTGCTGCTCACGGCCTGCCAGCTGGCTCCACAGAGCCTGAGACAGTAGGCCCTGTTGGGGCAATCCTGGGATGTCTGTGTTGCAGAAAAGCTCTTGGGGCCAGTGATTGTCAAGGTGAAGTCCTAGGACCTCCCCCACCCCTTCAACTCCCTTATTTAAAGTTGACAGAAAATAGAGAGATGAGGAAAGGGCAGGGTCCCGCGCAGCCTCTGAACTTCTCATTCGAAGGCCGTCTGCCATATTCTCATGGCGTGAAACCACAGCCACTGGATTTGTCCCATGCCAGCACCAAGAGGTGGGCAGCTGGGACCTCGGGAAGGGCCAAGGAGAGTCCTGGGGGCCTGTATAGAGTGCCCGCATCGGAAGAGCTGTGCCTGCAGCTCTTCCTCAAGCAGTGAGCCTGGCTGTTCAAGAAGTTTCTCCAGGAGGCTGCCTCTGACGTCAGCAGCAGCAGCAGTCTTCGCAAGGGGGGGGGCGCTAGGACCACAGCGGCCCCCTGATGGGGGTGGGGGGAGACACCGCCTCTGCCGTCCCCAGACCAGGGCCCTCAGGATGCTACAGAAGGAAAGGGAACACTGTTCTTGCAAATAAAGGTTTCTGGCGTTGGTGAAGGGAGTTTGTGTCCCTCGGCACCTGCCTTGTGAAGACCCGTGGGTCATCTAGACAGTTCTGTTGTAGCCACTGTTGTCATCTCCACACGTCCCGCAGCCCTATAATCGAGCGTGTGAGCACAGGAGGGGATGGAATAGGACGTCCCTCTGCCCGTGAGATGCCCGCCCAAGGGCATGTGGAAGTTAGGAGCCTGGAAGCATGGAGAATGAGTTAAAGCAGTTGCTCCATCCACATGGGGTTGTCAGGGTGGGTTGCTTGGCAAAGCAGTGAGGTTGGGCCCGAGCCCCCGTAATGCAGGAAGAAGAGATGGCACAGCAGCCACGGACAAAGGGACATTGGGTCATGGGGATGGGGGCGATGGCTGTGGAAGCCACGGAATCCTGGGCCTTCTGCCTTCTTGGGATCCCACGCTCCATGAAGAAGCATCCAAAAAGCTATTTCTCTTACCTCTCCAGGTTTTTAAAGAGGTGAGAACAGTGCTGGAATGCGGGGCATTTGCCCTGAGTTAGAGTGGGCAGGGGCCCGCCTGAGTAGGCCCCCACACCCACACATCCTGGTGTTCATTCCATGCCCAGCAGCAGGCTTCCACACAGGAGCCCTTGTGCCATCTATAGCACCCCCGGCTCAGCTAGCTTGAGAGCCTAGCTGAGGCACCCCAGTGCCAGCAGGTGCCTCCCAAGGGGCTGCCCCAAGCACCATGCATCCCTGGGAGCAGCTGGCTAAGAGCAACTTCCAGGAGAGAGAACGTAGGCCACCCAGTCCAGGAGCAGGGCTGGTCAGCAAGAGGGGAGGGCACAGCAGGGGGCATATCCAGAAACTTGGCCCTACCCTCAGCCAACACCTGTGCCCTACCTTGAAACCCACCCCTCTGGGCTTTGTCGGTGCCAAGTGCCAACCTAGCACCCCCTGTCTTTCCACAACCCAGCCACCAGCCCAGATAACCAGGTCATGGCTCCAGGAACCCCTGAGGGCTGGTCCCCACTTGAAGAGTATTGCCCCTAAATAGCCGTCACCCAGAACTTCCATTTAATTTATTCCAAGTCAGACTGACAGATAGAAGAGCTCCTATCCGCTGACTCACACCCTTTCCCCACCCCATCTCCTTAAAAAAAAAAAGCAGCTGCAAAGACCAGGACCCTGTCTAGGTGTCCCACATGGGCAGCCATGCCCTAAGGTACCACCTGCTGCTTCCGGGGTGCAGGAAGCTGGGTCCGAAGTAAAGGAACCCTGACTCACAGTGGACACTGTGGTAGCGGATGGGACCATCCCACACTGTCTCTTGACTGCTACATCACATGCCTGCCCCTTATTTTTCATCGTAAAAGTGCTTCTGTGAAGAAAAGCCCAAAAATAGAGAAAAATAGGTTTTTTAAACCTCCTAATTCACATCATGATCCCCGTTGGGCCAGGCGCGATAGTGTGGTGGCTAACGTCCTCACCTTGCAAGCGCCAGGATCCCATATGGGTGCCGGTTCTAATCCCGGCAGCTCCACTTCCTATCCAGCTCCCTGCCTGTGACCTGGGAGAGCAGCCGAGGACGGCCCAAAGCCTTGGACCCTGCACCCGTGTGGGAGATGTGGAAGAACTCCTGGCTCCTGGCTTCGGATCGGCGCAGCACTGGCTGTTGCGGTCACTTGGGGAGTGAACCGCTGGATAGAAGATGTTCCTCTCTGTCTCTCCTCCTCTCTGCATATCCTCCTTTCCAATAAAAATAAATAAATCTTAAAAAAAAAAAAATCATGGTCCCTCTTCGTCGTTGCCTCAGCTTGGTGAGGCCCCTTTTGTTCCTTTTCTAATGACCGCCAGAATGAAATCACGCAGTACCACACTGCGGGCAGCTGGCTCGGGTCACTTAATAGCTCCAGGACATGTTTGTATGCCCCTTCATTGAAGTTTAACTCATTAAATTAAAAAAAGAAAATGCCGCATGGTATTCCATAGCAGTGTAAAACCCCATTCAAGTAACCTGCTCTCCTTAATGAATTCCCCAGTTATGGGACAAACTTTCCTATTCTGTATATGGTGTCACAAACTAGACGACTGCCCAGGACCTTGTGCACTTAGAAAAGTCTACATTCCGTGGCGCTGGTGTTGTGGTATAACAGGTGAAGCCATTACCTGCAGGGCTGGCATCCCCTATGGGCACCAGTGTGAGCACCAGCTGCTCTGCTTCTGATCCTGCCCCTTGCTAATGCTCCTGGGAGAGCAGGACAAGATGGTCCAAGTACCTGGACCCCTGGCACACACGTGGGAGACCTGTCCAACCCTGGCCGTTTCAGCCACTTAAGGAGTAAGCTAGCCATGGAAGGTCTGTGTCTCTCCTCTTTATCACTCTGCCTCACATTGGAATCTGAGTCAGAAGAAACAGAAAGAGGCTGACCACCCAGGGAGACTGGGTATGGCTGTGGAGGTCTCAAGGGGCAATCCCAGGGCCTGGGCTCCTGGGGACCCTCACTGTGGAGTGTGTGTCTGCCTGGGCCTCGGGCTATCTGCTTATGCTCCAGAGCAAGCCAGGACGAGGAAGGAGATGAGCCGAGAGGGGCCACAGAGGTGACAGTGTGGGCTCTTTGGGGATGGGGACAGCCTCTCCTGGGCCCACCCACGGGGAAGCTGGGATCCTGGAGCCTCAGCGGACAAAAGCTCCACCAGGGCCATGGCGCAGTAGCCTAGTGGCTAAAGTCCTTGCCTTGCATACGCTGGGGTCCCATATGGGTGCCTGTTCTAATCTTGGCAGTCCCGCTTCCCATCCAGCTCCCTGTTTGTGGCCTGGGAAAGCAGTCCAGGACGGGACCCTGCACTTGCTTGGGAAGAGGCTCCAGGCCCCAGCTCTTCCTGGCTTTGGATCGGCTCAGCTTTGGCTGTTGCGGCCACTTGGGGAGTGAATCAACAGATCTTTTTCTCTGTCTCTCCTCCTCTATGTATATTTGACTTCCCAATTGACAAACAAAACAAAACAAAAACTCCATCAGGCAAATCAGAAGTAAACCTGCTTCGGTCCAAGCACCCTGGCACACCTGCCATTAAAATACCATGGTGCACAATCCGGGAGTGAGAGACCTGGGAGGGAAATAGTGGGTTCCCCCCTCTTGGGTTACCACTGCCACGGGAAGGCACGAGAACTAGGACAGGGGCTGGGGTAGCTAGACAGAGAGGCAACCCAACCACACCCGTGAAGCTGGACTGTATGAGCTGGGTAGATGGATCCAAGTCAATGCATTTGCCTGTACGACAACCGGGGGATGTGGGTCAGATTGGACTGGTCTGCCACCACATATTGAAAACCATGTAGGGGGTTGGCATGGTGGGGCTATTGTGGACGCTCCTCGATCAAGGATGCAGCTCCCACTGGTTAGGGAAGACCAAGTATGTGCTGTACAGAACCGGCTGGACTGCAACACCCATTGGTTCCATAGAAGAGGGGGCTGAAAACAGAACAACCTAGCACTTGCAAATACCAGCTGACCGGGAGATGGACTGTGCTGGCCCGTGCTTGCCTGGTGCATACCAGTATCTGGCCTGGGAACACCTCAGACAAGTTTCTTGTGATCCTGCCCAATTGAAATGCCAGACTCGTAAACAAACCATGAAGGACAAAGATGAACAAGTTAATCACCCACCTCAGCAACAAAATACCGGGCAAAATAGAACGCTATGATGGACATGTAATTAATGGATTTTTCACAACCTCATCGTGTTTGGAGAGGCAAGATTAGCAGCATTTCATAACTGGTGACCTATGGAAACCACTTCAATGAGTTCTCGGAGCATGCCCACAATGCGGGACTTGGGTGGGGGGAAATTCAGGGGGCTCTCCCTCAATATCCCCTCTACCTCAGATATATGAAGGAAACAGTATGGAAATAATAGTCTTATCCACTTGCCTGTAGCCCTTGACCCTTTTTACCCAAATTAACCATGTAAAGATTGTTAAAATAAAAAATATTAAAAAAAAAAAAATACCATGGTGCAGCAGTGTGCCCCCTGCCCTACCCCACACCTCACTGCCCTCTGTTCTGCGCCAGCAGGCAGCTCAGAGCCTGTGACTCTGGCTCCCTGTTCCTCCTCCACTCTCCACAATCACAGCCCTCGGGCTGCCGGCCTTGACTGAGGGCTCTTTCTCCTGACGCCCCAATCCTGAGCCCTGGGCGTCCCCCCAACACTATTTCATAGTATCTTCAGTACAGTCGCACCTTCAAACTCTGCCCCTCCTCCCAGCTGCTCCTGACCATTGCTTCCTGATAATGTACATCTTGGGGAAGAGGTGGGGATGGGAGTGGGGGGCTGCAGGAAATCCCTGCCCCCCCATAATGGAGACCCCCCGGGTTCTTGGCTTCGGACTGGTCCAGCCCTGGCTGCGGCAGGCATCTGAATAGTAAAGTAGTATTATGCAAGTTAATCTTTTAAACATTTAAGGGGGAAAGAATTCCCTCTACTCAACCTTTTGCTTTCATGACGGCGCTGACACCCGTGTCTGAATGCCCTCCCCACGCCCTCCCTCCTCCCCCGGTCGCCCTGTCCAGCCTGGACGCCTCCCTGTTATCTCGCCTCCTCTTGCTGACCGCTGTTCCCGCCTCCTCCACCACCTCCACCTCCTGGTACACACAGAGCCTTGAGGGTGCCACTGAGAAGAGCCCAGTGGTCACAGACGATGTGGGCAGGACAGGGGAGCCCCCCAAAGGCAAAGCAGTCTGGCTTTCCATCCCATTTCTGGAGGGAAAAAAAATGCATGTGCTGGATGCTTTTCAACCAAAAGTGCATGATTAATTCGGCCCTGACCTTTCTGTCTTTGAATAACAGATAAATTGTGTGTACTTGAAAAGAAATCTTTTCATTTGCGTTTCCATGTCACCTGTGCTTTTCCCTGCCTTCCACCGGCAGCCCTGCCAGCTGGCAGGAAGAAGCCAGTGGTGCGGCTGATAAGAGGAGTATAAAGAGGTCCAGGGCTCATGGCTAGGGTATCTTGGGCATTTCACTGGCAACATGCTGCGTGTTCTGGTGCTCGCTACCCTGGTCCTTTACGGTGAGTGGGTCCCTG